TACAACCAGATAGGACTTTGTAAATCTCACGCCTACAACGCGGAGAAAATGCTAGCTAACATTAATTACACAGGGTGCGTATTACTTGACAACATTCCCAAGGTTATCATGCTGGACAGACGCTTCAAGGTAATTATCCAGGACAGGAAAACTGCGATTAGCTACATCGAAGAAATCTCACCTAACATCTGGCAGATCTTCACAGATGGATCGAAAGCAAGCGGTAATACAGGTGCGGGATTCTGTGTCATCAAAGGAACACAGGAATTCCACAGAGTCAGTTATCAACTTGGTAAACTAGCAACAGTTTACCAATGCGAGCTATTTGCTCTCCACATGGCTAGTATTTGGATCAAAGAAAATATAGGTACAACATCAATCATAAATCTCTTCTCAGATTCCCAGGCCTCACTCCTAGCGTTAACCAGCACCAGCATCAGCTCCAGACTAGTGCTGGACATTGCTGACCAACTTAACACATCAGGTACATCCCACAAAGTAGAACTCAGGTGGGTTCCTGGACATGAAGGAGTACACGGTAATGAACTAGCTGACGAACTAGCAAGGGAGGGATCCAGCAGCACCCCCATTGGACCTGAACCCTTCCTCCCACTCTCGGAAGGCATAATCAACACCCACATAAAAGATTACCTCTTCAATCTCCATATCAAGAAGTATAAACAGGTGGCACTCAGTGACAAAGGAAAAACCCCACTAACATTTTTCCTCAACAAAAACAGGTACAAGATAATCAACATCACAGGTACTCACATCAGATGGCTAACATGGCTACTATCAGGACACAGCCCACTAGCATACTTCCAGACGGTAGCAAACAACGCCAAATTCGAAACACAAGACTGTGAACACTGCCCAGGGGAAGCAGAAACATCACAACACTTCCTATGTGAATGCATCCAGCTGATGACAACTAGACTGAGGATATTTGGTAAACCCATCCTAACAATTGAGGAACTCATCAATAGTAAACTCGACCACATTATCAAATTTGTGGAAAAGTCATCAAGGTTTGACAGAGACGATCTATTTGGATAAGCACCTAGGACATACACCAAGGCTCATAAACAATCATACATTAGATCCACACAGGACTATCTCAGATAGTGACACATATCCAGTGGACCATGCTCAGAAGTCCCTCGCCTGCCCGCCGAAGAAGAACATCTGAAGTGGGTTTGCTCTGAGCAAGGTAGTAACAGCTTCGAGACTCCAGAGGTCTGTTGCGTTGATATCTATTATTCTATGCTTTTGTATATACTTAGGGAGTCCTGGAGTGTGGCTAGCAGGAGTCACACTCTGTGGGCACGGCGAGAAGGCCTCCCTCTTCACTAGGAGGCCAGAAACCGTTGACCAAACCAGAGAGAGAGAGAGAGTGTTCGAGCTAAAAAATTATTTAAGACAATTTGTCTTCTAAAAGCACCTATTTGGTACTAAAAGATTCGTCTTACCAAGCTGATTGCGATTATGTAAAAATTATTTCAAAAAAACTGATACTTTTTGAGTTATAGGCATTTTAAGCCTTAAATCTGCCTTTTTTACGATGAATTTTACTAAGTCGTTTGAGGTCACATTGCATAGCTTAAAACTCAAATCTGAGAGAAATCCTACTCCAAAAAGTTTGATATGATCATCAGCTACACTCACAAGAATTTTTAAAGCGATATCTGCTGACCCGGGTGATTGGTGAAATGTACAACTTTAGAAGTGGGAAAAATTTCAATTTTTATTTTTTCGACCTTGTTTGGTCTGTAACTTCGTCATTTATCGTTCAATTATATAATCCTTTCAATGGCTTCTTGTACGGATTGTAAGTAATGTTCAGTAAAAAAAATCAGCCAAAACACTTTTAAAATGGCCGAACTATCGTATTACAGTGACAGACTTCTCCAAATTTTAAAAATTTTCGAAAAAGACAAATATTTTTTTCTCGATGAGGGAATATTTTTAGAAAATTTTGAAGGTGTGCAATCTTATCTTTTTTGTCTATTTAACCATAATATACAATAAAAACGATGTTCGGAGCAAAAACGTTTTTGGTGTATCTCCCCTTAAGGGGGCATACACCAAAACAGTGGTTTGTGCCGTCCAACCCAAATGACCTCATAGGCAGTTCAGTGACCATCTAGCGCACCGTTTCCACATTTAAAAAAATTATTTTTATAATACCCATTTTTGTAATCGAGCATTTCCTGGTTAGAGTGGAATTTTCGGAAAAACACAATTTGTTTCGTGGAGAGGCTATAAGTTAATCATTTCTTGCGGTATCGGGTTGAAATTTTGCTTGCCGTCTATTCACATCTATTTCAAGGTGTGTGTAAAATCTTGATATCGTACCTAAAAAGGCTGGTGTGTTATAAATTTTTAAAGTTTAAAAAAGTCAAAAAGTTGAAATTGTCCTTTTCAGACTTATTTTAACCAATAAGTCAGTCAGGGAAGATCGGATTGATTTGATGGTTGACATGAACTTGTTCTCTGAATTCTGGCGCAGTTTTTGATGCCCTCAAAAATGTTTTCACTCATTTATCTTCAGATCTATTGGACTTCAAAGCCAAACAACAAATTTAGGCACATTTTTCGTTTTTAATACTTTAATATTTACTGATTTTTCTAACATTTTGATAGGAATGTGCTAGTGACTTTTTGAAGGGCGCAAAATAACCGCAACTAGCACATTTATATATGAGTTATGAACAACAAAACACCCTAAAATGCTTCCCTTTGAAGTTATGGGAGAAAATGTGATTTTTTGACTTTGCAGAAAGGTGCTAGTGTGGCGGTGTCCATAGTAGTAGTATATCAGTTCTAACGTTGACCGTTTAGACACTGAGTCCCATGTGGATGAGCATATCGGGACTCAATGACATAGTTCAGGGACATAGTTTATCCTATTTTAATGGGCGCTTACCATTAGTTTAGCATATTAAGATTTGTCCCTCTCCTGCATGCAATGCCGGCCGGACCCTAAACTAACCCCTTTCGGAAAAATCTTCATGTTGGCAGAGTAAATCAGTTCTAAACGGTCAACGTAAAGACACTGAGTCCCATGAGGATGAGCATAGTTTATCCTATTTTAATGGGCGCTTACCATTAGTTTAGCATATTAAGATTTGTCCCTCTCCTGCATGCAATGCCGGCCGGACCCGAAACTAACCCCTTTCGGAAAAATCTTCATGTTGGCAGAGTAAATCAGTTCTAAACGGTCAACGTTAAGACACTGAGTCCCATGTGGATGAGCATAGTTTATCTTATTTTAATGGGCGCTTACCATTAGTTTAGCATATTAAGATTTGTCCCTCTCCTGCATGCAATGCCCTCGCCTATATAATACCCAGACCCAAATCTCTGGCCAGAGTTGTTTTAGAGTTGTGCATCATCTTTGGTTTAAACCCCCGATTTCTGCAAATCTAGATTTACGTTTTTCCCCAGGTAAAATCACTAAAAACTTATGTTTGGTCTTATTGTGCTTTCGAGCCACACTTAAAAGTTTTCTGCTACTCTCAGTAATTACATAATTCTTCATAAATCTTCAAGTTAAACAATAATTGCATCGGGCTACAAGAAAATGATACAAAATGAGTATAACATAATAAATTAATTCGACAAATCTCGTGAGCTTGGCTCTCACATTGCATACCTCCCCTGCAGTTTTTACTACCTGGCTGGTTAGAATCTTAATGTTTAAATTATTTGCTATTAGTTTAAAAGAGAAATTAATATTTTGTGACAAGGCGGAGGTCGGATTTTTGATGATCATGAGCTTTTATGTCAGGCACAAGTTTCTCATTCTCGCACCAAACTTGTATTATTGGCATTTTGTAAATATTTGCAAGTTAATAGTGTATTTCATATTGTCAGTGTCTCTTTTGAGTCTCCATATGAGTTTGGATAACACGGTTGACGTTTCGTAGAACTCATTCTTTAAGCTTCGGCAATAATTTGACCAACACTTTTTGAAAGCGTTTCAGTCAGACCTTATATCTTTATATGTATAAATATGATGCTCTGCCTTCCGATAATACATTGGCCTGGTAAACAGTTGATTTGATCTGACATTTTCACGGCAATGGACAATTTGTTTTTGCAAGTTGCGGAATCTTGGTCGGTGGAGTCGCCTTGTGAGCTTATAGTTATAAATTCGGCAACAGTATTTTATTTTACCGTGTTTATGTTGATGACTTTGTGGAGGTGCTTTAGGATATACTTGTCTGGGATGTTGAAGAACTTCTTCCCAATATTAGAATATTAGTTTCCACATTTGATATATGTATATATAGACGCTTTGACAGTCAATTACTTATTCTGTATGTGAATGTTTGGGACACCTTTTCAGTATGTGATCTATTGTTGAATTCTTGTCGCCAAGCAGACAATTGCTCAAAGCTGAGCTCTTTATTAAACAAATCTCTAGTCCCATGTCAACGCACCTATCCGAAATAAAATTTGCTCGCACAAAACCTGGTTATCATGAATATGGAGCATAGTACTCAGCCTCCTGAGGGCCAATAACGGACATGGAATCAAGTCACGTGATTCAGTGATAAGGTTTTATTGGATATATATTCTTAATACTTCAATTGCGAGATGGGCAACCTCCCCCAGTTAAAATTCACGTCAAAACGTCTTAATACTTTAAATATCCTTGACGGTTTTAATTGCCCAATTCGACCTGGTTAATGAATAAAACATTCAAAATGACATCCTTCTGACTCCCCTGGACCTTGAGTATTGTGTATTTAGGACTTTAGGAAACGTGCAGTATGATGGGTTGTACTGCCCCTTACTCACTTTGACTTACATTACAACTGAAAACAACTGAATTGAATGAAACTAACTGAATTAACAAACAAACTCTATTGAAATTAATGTCTAGATATAGTTGTTATGAGTAGAATGTGAGCTTTGTTTTTAAACGTATAATTTTAAAATTGCTTTGTGAAATTTAAACTTTAAGCTAACTCAAACTGAAAATAATTATTTCTACAGAGAAATGTCGATATTTCTTCTACTAACGCTTCACCTACTCTTCTCTCCTGCTCAATGTGGTAGGTTTCATATAGGTTATTGCTCTTAAATGACCACTTTCTCACTTTCATGGGGGGGGGGGGGGGGGGGGGACTGAAATTTTGAAAACTGATTGAGTTGTTACAATTTTAATGAGATTCCGCGAATATCGCGAACCAAGATACGGGCAATTTAATTAATTTTTTGTGGTTTTTTCGGTTTAGTATCCACATTTAAACAAATATAAAGCTATAACTTACAGAGAATATGTAGTTTAGGCTTACCTTTCATATAAAGTAAGTTTCATTCAAAAATATTGATATTTGCCCAATTTATGGGACGACATCTACCAAATTTGGTGCGTATGACCAAATATGGGCATATGGTTTTTTGCTCATAGCTCAGTCATTTTTCGTCCAATCTTGATGAAATTTCATATACGAGTTCAGAAGACCACTAGCTACAAGTAGAGCACATAAAATATGGGTATGGGGCATGTTCAGGGTATTTGGCTAAATTCGGCCTAATTTGGACCAAATATGGGCGTGGCTACCCCGCGGGAATGTTGGACAGACAATATCTAAAACTTAACTAAAGTACTAGCAAAACTAACCGTCGTATCCTCTAAAATCACCTAATTTGTTTGCAATTTTAGGGAGGGGCACCAAAAGGGGAGATGGCGCCAACAGGGGGGCGCTTTTGCGGCGGGGGGGGGGGGGGGCGCCAACAGGCAACGTCACGCCACTGATAATGTATGAGTAACGCAGATTAGTAATCGTTGTATGAATATTGACGTGTTTCTTCAATAAATCTTGTATTATAAACCTACGCATCAGTAGTCAATAACTACATAAGGTTATTATAATGAAAATGAAATGATGGCGTTTGGACTTGTGACCAGCTCGCAGTACATTACATTAGTGATTAATGCACTCTCTGAATACCATCAGGCTAGCTGAAATTATTCATAATATAATTATTGAAATTATTACTTTATTAAAACTGTTTTGTAACATCAACTTTAGTGCTCGTACGGTAGCCAGTTAAAAATATCGTTAGTTACATATTATAAAGGTACTGTATAAGTAATAGTAATACTAATACGTGTTATTGCAGCTAAGAGAGAAAGACTGGATGGTGAGATAGTCCCAGTCAGTGCTGCACAGTCCCGCACGTTAGGTGATGACGAGGAGGAGTATGGTGCTTACCTTGCTATAGACCTTGACCTGGAGATTAACTCCCACACAACATCTGGTAAAGACGGTAAACGTTGGTTAAAGATAACACTAGACCAGGTTCACTGTGTTGAACAAGTGATGTATTTATTTAGTAGTGGTAATCCTCTCAACACCTGGACCTGCTCTATTAGAGACTGTAGTACCTGTGAGGGTAGCTATAAGTTCTGTAGTAGCTTCACCCTCACAGTGTACACAGAGGGAGCAGCACCTGATAACCTATCACCTGAATCTAACTACGGCTGCAAATACGGAGATACGGTGAAGCTAGAGGCGATTGATAACTTTATTGCGTACGAGATAGTGATAATCGGGAAACAAGGTGAGACTACTCATTATAAAACTTACTATATTCCTATTAGCAGGTAGGATATGTTCACGGTGTAAATTAGAGTGAAATATGTGTGAAAACACACAATGAACCTTTTTAAGTTTCTTCATATCCCCCAACTGATTCAATGGAGTAATCTAAAAATGTTTTTATCAGATGATAGCCCTAACCGAACATCTTTATTTCAGGATGTTTAAAACGTTCGGTTGCAGAGCAAAAAATGTGTACCCATGCACTTCGCGCGCACTGTAATTGTAAACACTGACATGATATGATCTCGGAGTTATAACCAGATATAATAATCATTAACTAAGATATCTTTTGTTTCTTTATATAAAGCCAGTAGGATGAACTCTGAAATTTAAGATCAACTATACACATTTTAGCAGTCAACATTATGAGACGCCGGTTTGAAACTCAGCGAACAAATATACTCGACCGTTAAGTTTTTGCGGGGGATTAGAGGGGATTTCTATCGAGGGTCACAAGTAAGTAAATTTAAAGTGATGACTGCATGCTCATCGCGAAAACCCAATTCCTGATGGCCATAATTGACAAAAATAAGGGATAAATTCATTTAAAAGTTTTATGTTTTCATCTAATAGCTCGAAATAAATGTAACATATCATACTCAAATTTTACATAAAATATGGAAAAAGAATGAGTATTTTATAAGTTTATAGCTTATTTCTAGAGTGAAATTGATATCAATTATCTGTTTTTGTCATATTTCAGGTGAAGTATACCGAAAATGACGATTGTATCAAGACTAAAAGATAAACAGATGGCGATAACTAATGGATCTCAATCAGCTTCCAACCAGGTTTGCTCACAGTTTAATTTGAGAGTTTATATTTGGATAATGAAGCTATATAATTAAACTTTCCCTAAAAATGATTGCATATTTTATCCGTGAAACGTTTTACTAATTTACTGTTTAGTGCAGCACTATTTTTGCATTACACATTGGTAAATCAATTTGGTTAAACTAAGATTACATCTATGCTGATCGATAAACCTTGATAATTTCTATCAATTTCTTTTGTTTAATGTCACCTTTTTATTTCCATAGTTATACCTGCTTAAAACTACCTCTAAGGTTTGGAACTTATTTTAGGCTAATAATTAATGTACTTGATACTTATGTTATTGTTATCTTAGTCAACCAAATATCCTACTTTTGGTTATTTTCGCTTAAAATCTGAAATCTCTCTCTGTCACATAACCCAATAATATGTCGAATTATAGGTTGATTACATCGTTGTAGTCAGATCGTACTTTATTAAGACGGACAGTGAGCCAGACCTCATCAGACGGAACTCAACTGAGCTCATGGTTTGGTATGTTCTTAAAATTATCAACATTAATTTATGAATACTAATCTGCTTACACAAACATGAATAGACGTAAGGACGTATATCATGATCTACTACTATTTTGAGGGCTTTAGTTAAACTTTCAAATATTTAAGTATTTATATTGTATTTATCTATTTCATAGTTACTATTAGTATTAATAATAATTTTAATTTAAAACTTTAATGTATATTTAATTTACGACATACCCCAATTTGCTTGGTATATTTGCAAGTGTCAACAGAAAATAAAGATCGGTGCGTTAACTGATCTTCTTTTCAGGATAAATAATAGACATAACTATGAAGAAATCTACTAACTATTCGACTGCAGAGTAGCACGAGGATCCCTGGAGTAGTACCAGACCACTATAACTGATTTGCACGAAGATATGGAATTAGAGTCTTGCCTGCAGTGACCATAATCCAAAAAGTAAGTTATCGACCTGCAAAATTTGTTTCCTTACTAATACTTAATTCTTGACATCTTCCGGAAATACTTATTTTGACGTAAATCTAAGATTAACATTAACAAAACTTTATTAGTGTAACATAATTCGATTCTCTTCAAAATTCAGTTCACCGAGTTCATTGCAAATGAACCAATATCCTGTAAGACCGCGCAAGTGTAAAAGTCTATAATCCTGGATCGCGAGAAAGTTATGAGCATGAAATCGCGTAAAAAACGGTCTTAAATGTAAGTCAACAAAGTAGTACTAGTAGTACCGAATAAGAAAATCATTAAAAGAATTTATTTTGGTGCAGTATCTTGACCCTTTTTTCAGCCGAGCCCACTGGTAGAATTTTAACGTTACTCCTCGATTTTTAAAAGTTTTCCCGCGTTTTTCTGATACCAGCCGCTTCTCCACATGTTCGAGCAAAATTCACAACAATTTTCTTCAACACAGGTTATGAAGCCACTGCTATAAGTATAAAGGCAGACGAGATTTCCTGGAGCTTATAAGCATTCCTAATAATATTGAAGCGGATCAGGCCCTAATTCTCGACGATTAAGCTTAAACTAAAATGTAAGTTGACAATAAAATACACAAGATAAAGATTTTTATCCCCATCATCTAATATTCTATTGCGTGATTAATATTTGATCATCAAATGGTTGTGCGTATTGTGAAACTGGCAATAAGCCTTGTGTCATTGACGATTTAATATTAATACGGAGACATCTTCAGATTTTCTGAGTTTGTATCACACAAGGTAAGACAGAGTAGCAGGCCAGGTAATGACACCCTAAAACATGAATATTCTAATACTGACCAACGGGGGCATTCTCAAAACGGCTCATAATCCAACATTACTTATATTAGAATCAGACTAGTTCAAATCTATATCATGGTGCATCTGGAAAAGCAAAGTGATTACAGGATAACAATTGGGTCGTTAGAAACAGGGAGGAAATCAGCAGAAATAGTATTTTGGTATTATATAATCAATCAACTTTGTAACTTTTTAACTGCACATTTACCGAAAGGATTCGGAGCTCTAAATTGTATGTTTTAACTGCACATTTACCGAAAGGATTCGGAGCTCTTAATTGTATGTTTTAACTGCACATTTACCGAAAGGATTCGAAGCTCTAAATTGTATGTTTTAACTGCACATTTACCGAAAGGATTCGGAGCTCTAAATTGTATGTTTTAACTGCACATTTACCGAAAGGATTCGGAGCTCTTAATTCTTTAATTGTATGTAGTAACTGCACATTTACCGAAAGGATTCGGAGCTCTTAATTGTATGTAGTAACTGCACATTTACCGAAAGGATTCGGAGCTCTAAATTGTATGTATTCACTGCACATTTACCGAAAGGATTCGGAGCTCTTAATTTTTTAATTGTATGTATTAACTGCACATTTACCGAAAGGATTCGGAGCTCTTAATTGTATGTATTAACTGCACATTTACCGAAAGGATTCGGAGCTCTTAATTGTATGTATTAACTGCACATTTACCGAAAGGATTCGGAGCTCTTAATTGTACGTATTAACTGCACATTTACCGAAAGGATTCAGAGCTCTAAATTGTATGTTTTAACTGCACATTTACCGAAAGGATTCGGAGCTCTAAATTGTATGTAGTAACTGCACATTTACCGAAAATATTCGGAGCTCTAAATTGTAATTTGTATGTATTAACTGCAAATTTACCGAAAGTAAATTTTATTTATTTTCAGTAAAACCGGGTTTGGGGGTTCAAGCGAAACTTACAATTCCTATAATTGCTTTAAATTATGACGAATAGAATGTTAGATAAAATGTATTGATAACAATTGTTTGCAAGATACATTAAATGATGTGAATAGTAACCAATAGTAACCAATAGTAACCAATAGTAACCAATAGTAACCAATAGTAACCAATAGTAACCAATAGTAACCAATAGTAACCAATAGTAACCAATAGTAACCAATAGTAACCAATAGTAACCAATAGTAACCAATAGTAACCAATAGTAACCAATAGTAACCAATAGTAACCAATAGTAACCAATAGTAACCAATAGTAACCAATAGTAACCAATAGTAACCAATTATAACCAATAGTAATCAATAGTAATCAATAGTAACCAATGGTAACCAATAGTAACCAATAGTTACCAATAGTTACCAATAGTTACCAATAGTTACCAATAGTCACCAATAGTTACCAATAGTTACCAATAGTTACCAATAGTTACCAATAGTTACCAATAGTTACCAATAGTTACCAATAGTTACCAATAGTTACCAATAGTTACCAATAGTTACCAATAGTTACCAATAGTTACCAATAATTACCAATAGTTACCAATAGTTACTAATAATACTTTGTATAAAAATTGATGATTCCGTTTAGTTTGAAGGTTTAAGCACATTAATTGGAAATTTGAGGTCTCTAAAATTTTCAAATGCTGAGATGTGGAAAGTGGAAAATCGGTTTTAAGAAAGTTAACTATGGTTACTATGGTAACTGTGGTAACTATGGTAACTATGGTAACTATGGTAACTGTGGATTTACCCCGAGTAAAATTCTTTGGGAACTCTCTGGAATGACTCTTAGGACCTGTGCAATTAATAATTTCCAGTAAATTAATATATTAATATTATATAATTTTGCCGGAAATTTGACTGTCAAATTTGACAAATTTGACAGTTAAATTTGGCAGCACTTTAGTACTTATATTAGTACTGTATTATAATAGTCTACACTTGTTCATTGCACTCAGTAATCCAGTATCGTTTGCTCAAACTTAACACTCTTTATACTGTTACACCTGAATAACGATGATACTCCACTAGCTCAGGTGACGATATTCCACTAGTTCAGGTGACGATATTCCACTAGTTCAGGCGACGATATTCCATTAGTTCAGGTGACGATATTCGACTAGTTCAGGTGACGATATTCCACTAGTTCAGGTGACGATATTCCACTAGTTCAGGTGACGATATTCCACTAGTTCAGGTGACGATATTCCACTAGTTCAGGTGACGATATTCCACTAGTTCAGGTGACGATATTCCATTAGTTCAGGTGACGATATTCGACTAGTTCAGGTGACGATATTCCACTAGTTCAGGTGACGATATTCCACTAGTTCAGGCGACGATATTCCATTAGTTCAGGTGACGATATTCGACTAGTTCAGGTGACGATATTCCACTAGTTCAGGTGACGATATTCCACTAGCTCAGGTGACGATATTCGACTAGTTCAGGTGACGATATTCCACTAGTTCAGGTGACGATATTCCACTAGTTCAGGTGACGATATTCCATTAGTTCAGGTGACGATATTCCATTAGTTCAGGTGACGATATTCCACTAGTTCAGGTGACGATATTCCACTAGCTCAGGTGACGATATTCCACTAGTTCAGGTGACAATATTCCACTAGTTTAGGTGACGATATTCCA